TTTTTTTTTGAAATGAGTATTAGTTTTTAATGTCTTACGTACATTTGATTGTTCTTGTTCAGTGTCTTGTGTATTTAATTTTTGTTCATGATTATCAATTTGATTATTTTTAGTAACATTTTTTGATATTGTTTGGCGAGAATTTTGTATCTTCTTATCTTTATTAGCTGATTGAATAGATCTATCAGTTGTTGAAACAGATGTCTAAATATTTAATAAAGTTAATATTTGTTAATTTAATATAAATTTTTGTTTACTTTCTTATCTAGTTTTGTTGTTGATCGAGAGTTATTATCTGATTTTATATTTATAGTTGATAGAGGTTTTGATTTTGATGTGACAGTACGTGGAAGAACTTTTGTTATTTCACCACTTGATGTTGGTTTCGATTTTGAAGACAGATTTTTAATATTTATGCTGCTACTAGTAGATGATGTTGTTTTAGCACTACCTGCTCGACTTGTTTGATGTTGTTGTTGTTGTTGAGATTCATGTAATATATCCGAATGACGAACTCTGGTTAATGCTTCAAAGACAAGTGTTTGTGGACATGCACCTGTATATAGAATGCGAACTAAACTATCTTTGTTTGATTTTGATGTTGGTGTCCAAACGAGAAGTGTACATGATGAATACCAATGATGAAGAGGAATTATTGAAGGTGATGGTTGTTGATCACGAATTGGAATCTAAAAATGATAAAAATAAAAATTTTAAATTTATCATTGAAATGTTTCATTTTACTTTTTGTAAATTTGCTAAAGATTTATCATCATCAATTGATGATGATGGATATAAAACATAAAGATCAAGTGAACCAAAAGCTATTTTTTTATAAAGATTAATTGGTTCTATAGTATGTTTATTTGGTGCTGTAGATTTAATTAAATCAAATGTTTCAATATTTAATTGTTTAATATCATGTAAAAATTGATCTATATTATGAGATAAATTAATTGATAATTTACTATCTGATGATATTTTTGATGAATGTGATGATTGAAATCGTATTCGTTGAGTATGATTAAGAAAAATCGCTCCTATATCTGGTTTACA